GCCCCACCCAGCTAGAAGGTAGGAAGCCAGCATCACTCAGGGCCATTCGTTTGGGTGCAAGAGACTGATCACTTTGGGAAAAGAGGGCAAACCCCAATAATCATGGCCAGGAGGGGAGTGTGCTCCCACCACATAGGAGGGCAGAACACCATCCCAGCCTGAGGATATGGTCATGGTGTGGTCTTTGCCAGCCACCCTCTGCTGTCTGGGGCCAAGGTGGAAATGCTGCTGCCTTCTTGAAAGAGAAAGGACTCTTTCTCCAGAGCTTGCTCTCACCTGTCACCCAGGAGTTGCACCTGGAGGGGGCCTCCACGTGGCCTTGACCATCCCACCCCCTTCAAGGCACTGTTACTTGTTTCCACACATCCCAAAGAGGCAAGTCCCAATTTCTGCCCCAGGCTGGCTGCTTTCTACCTGTGACACTCTTATGAGGCAGGTGGCACTTAGGTTTGTATCTTACTCAATTCTAAATCCCAAATGTCCTCGTTAATTATAATTGGAAAACACAAAATGATAATTATTTTTCTTTTGTGTGACAAGTTTTTAATCAATTTTAGCCTGCTTTCCATTAAAACTAATCTGAAATTGAGCTAAAACTTGAAGAAATAATAGCTTTTTATGATAGGGTGGCATATACTATATTAAAGAGAAAACATAGTACCTTTCTGGTTCCTTCAAGAAAACTGCCAGTATCATTCTTTATTTCTTGGCAGAATTGGAAATAATTTGCAGCACAATTTTATCTGTTATGGGTATAAATCCTGCCAACAGATGGTTAGGTTCAAGCGTTTTATATTGTTATTTCGTACAACCAAACCAAGTATTGGTGTTCTGGTTAATGAAAAATGTTGATAGAGAAGTTCACACTGAATGGTGAAAAAGAAGCTCTGTTACACAGTATGGGTGCTGCTGTTTATATTTTGTAAAATGCATATTTAAAGGCAAACCATAATGCTCTTCATGATTAACTTCTGAAAGGTTTGCAGAACTGCAGCCATCTGGCTAGGACTAGTCCTCATGGGGACCTCACAATCAACTGAGCTTGAGAGCTCTGGCTCAAGGATGTCAGTGCTCTAGAAAAGGCAGCCATCCTTGGCCAGCTTTTCCAGGTTCAGGGACAAGGGGAGGCCCTTGATATTCTGGATGTCAGATGCTGGAAGGGGCATTGGGCTGTCAGGCTCGCCGTCCCTCTTGTCAAAACAGCTACCCAGTGTCAACTGAGAACTAAGCAGTGCTCTTTCCAAGTGCCGACTCCTGCCCAGCTGGCTTTTTTTTCTGGGGAGGGGACCCAGCAGGCCCCCTCCTTCGCTCTGCTGAGCAAGGTTAACGGGAACTGGCCTGTCCCTCCACTCCCTCCTTATTTTGCACTCTTTCCTTCAGCTGCTGAACTTCCACCCACCAGCGTTGATACGGTCCTCCTGCCCCACCACTTCTTGTGGGCAGCAAACTCGAAGAAATCCAAGATTCCTCCCCACCCCGGGAAGTCCCAAAGCAATAAGTTACCAACATCAGCCTGACAGGCAGGGAAGCAAAAGAGGAGAGAGAGAAAAGGAGAGGCAGGACGGGGAAAACAACTTTGAACATCAGCGTTCCCGTTCGCAACAAGCGCGCGAGCGCGCGCCTCACTCTAATGGCAAACAGCTGTAGATGACCACACTACGCCGCCGCCGCCCCGCCTTTCTCCAGCCTAAAAACAGGCACTGAGAGCAGCGAGGCAAATCACAGGACGAGGGGAATGCACAGATGGTGTTTGTCCTTTTCGGCTCTTTTTCCAGCTCGGGGAGTGGGGAAGAGCAGCAACGTGCTTAAATTAAATTAAAACCATAACGCGGCGAAGGAGGGCTTGGGCAGGAACTCAGGCAAGCGGGCTGGCTTTCTCTGGAGTTGGAAGGGACCCGGCAGCCCGGTTTCTCAGAAGCCACCCAAATCCAAACGAGGCCGATCTGCGGAGCGGGCAGGGCGAGGAGTCAAGGGAGAGGCGGCGGGGATCAGAGGCGCAGGGGCGCGAGCGAGGGGACCCAGCGGGCGGAGGAGTCCCCGCTTACCTTTTAAGAGCTGCCTTGGGACCCTCCGTCCGTGGGGTCATTTCTTAGACTGGAGAGGGAGGGGAATAAAGGAGGAGAAGGCAGCTGAGGCGCGGAGTTTGGAGGGAGCCTCGGAAGAAGCGGCGTTAAGCTTGGAGAGGGGAGGGAGCTCGCGGGCAAGAAGCAAAGCAGCGGAGCATCTTCGCGTCCAGCAGAGAGTTAGTTGATCGGACGGGGCTGCTCAAGAGGGCCGGCGCGGTAGGTACCTTAGCTGCCCCTCCGGCCTGCGGTGCGCCACTCCTGGCTCCGGCGGAGGCTCCTCGCCCGCGAAGCGGACTTGCCCAGCGGGGACCCCGCGACTGCTTGAGGCTCCGCCCCTCCAGATGAGGCCGCTCCCCCTCTGTTGGATGGGCCGAGGGACGGGGTGGGGGAAAGTAGCGGGACCGCCTAGCCCCACCCTCAGCGGGCTACGGGCGGCCAGCTCGCGGCTTGCACTGAGCGGCCGGGGCAGTTCCCATTTCTGTCCCACACCAGTCTTCTGACCTCTGCAGTTTTGCGCGATGAAGTCCTGGGGGTTTAATTTTTCTTGATTGGTTGCATTCCTTTTCAGTGGAATCGCTGCAGAAACGCGTATATCAAAAAAGGGCCTTGGAAGACGGTTCTTTGCTTTGAAGATGATGAAAATAGTCTCTAGTCCATTGGCTTTTCAGTCCTTGTGGTAGGTAGCAGAGACATGTCTATTTCAGATTGTTGTGTTTTCCCCATAGAATCAGAATTGGAAGGGCCCTTCTGGTCTTCAGATCCACCCTATTCAAGCAGCACTTCAGATTGAAGCCTCACGGGCAGCTGGCGGTCCAACCTCCTCTTGAGCACATCCCCTGAAGGAGAGCTTAGCCTTCTGAGCAATATCCTTTCAGGTATTAAACCGTGCTAACAAATCCTTCCTGGGTCTGCTCATTCCAAAGCCATGGAATGGCCAGGTTCTTCAGTATTAGTTATCCAGTTTTGCGTCATCTGAAGACTTGACAATCATTTCCTCCATCTTTTCACCCGAATCACTGATCACAATCTTGAAAATAGAGGGCCCAGAACTGAATCTCATGGAACTCTATGATGAAGAGGAGCCATTGACTAGGACCTTAGGAGTAACATTTCTGAGCTAGTTATGTGTCTATTAAATTGTCGTGGGGTACTCCATCAAATGTTTTGCTGAAATTGATACTTTACATCTATAGCAATCCAATCCACACTGACTTCTGGTAATTAATGTGTTTTTTTTAGATGCATACTGATGAATCCCTTGATAATCTGCTCTAGAATCTTCTCAGATACGGATATCAAGCTGACTGGTCTGTAATTTCCTGACTCTCCTTTTTTCCCTTTTAAACATAGGGATGTTTGTTCTCCAGTTTGTTCATCTGGCACTCCAAGGATAATACCTAGAAGTTCAGCCAGACCATCAGCTGGCTTCTTTAGGACCCTATGATTCAGTTCATCTTGCCCTGGAGATTGAAATCATTCTGAGTAAGGAGTATTCCCTGACTATCTTTCTATCAGTCACTAGCTTCAGTTCTGTCCCTTTACCTGGCTCTTTACAAATTCCTGTGGATCACATATTACCTTCCTTACCAGAATAGTTGGCAATTGTGGTTTGGTATCTCTGTTTAAAGGAACTCCCATTCATTTTGAGCTTCTTTTCTTGCTGTGGGATTCTACGAATAATTCTTCTGAGTTTGTCACATGCACACACTTTCTTTTAAATCCAAGATATGTATTAGACTGAGCTCAAATTCAATTTCCCTTAACATCAAGAATGCCAGCATTTGGTGTTCACTTTCCTCCAGTGTCCTTGCTACTTCCACTATTCCAGCTAAGCTTCTCCTATTAGTTAGTATCAAGTCAAGAGTAGCAGATGTTCATCTGTCTGCCTCAACTCTCTGAAAGAGAAAGTTGTCAGCAAATCAAGAATTTTTGGGAAGGACCATGCTTGGCAGAGTTTCTCTCCCAACAGATGTTGGGGTAATACAAGTTTCCCATCACTGCTGTTTCAGGCCTCTTTGAAAGATCTGCAGTTTGCTTTCAGAAGGCATCCTTGTTTGGAGGGGAGATAGTCAACACCAACAACAGTATTGCTTTCATTTGTTCCTCCTCCCTTTCTATTTTTGTTCTTTTTGAACAAACAGTATCTTTAAGCTGATGTGTTTCTGTCCCAAAATTTATTCTGCTAGTCTCTGTTATGCTTGTTAAATCATATTTGCCTTTTTGTTTTTTCCTTATAGTTCCAGCATTAGAGTCTAGACCAGCAGTTCTCAAACATTTCAGTCTCAGGACCCATTTGCATTCTTAAAAATGATTGAGGATGTGAGTTATATCTATTGATATTTACTGTATTACAAATTAAAACTGAGAAATTTAAAAATATTTATTTATTTGACTTTGCAGAACCCCTGAGAGGGTCTTGGGGACCCCCAGGGTTCCCCAGACCACACTTTAAGAACTGCTGGCCTAGACTATAAAGATTGTGTAGTTTTTGGACCAAGGCCCCATTACAACAACTCACTCATTTTTTTCTCCCTATAATGCACAAGCAGTGCCTTTGTCTGAGCTCCTTACTTCAGGGCTTTTGTCTCCAGTCCCCACAAGATTCAGTTGAGAGGCTTTCTAATCAAGCTTGTCCTGCTTCAGGTAAACACATTTTACTGATCCCAGTGAGGTGCAATTCATCTTGAGCCAGAAGTCCATCATCTAGATAACTCAGTCCGGGGTCCCAAAAACTAAATCCCTCCTGTCAACACCATTCATTTGCAGTAGCCTTCCTTCCCTTATTGATTCTCTTCCATGGATTAGAAGGATAAACATCACTTCACCACAAAGATCTTGCACTTCCTTCTTAAATTTTCAAAGTCATGATGGAGCTATTCTTTCCAATATTATTGGTCCTCTCATGGATTTAACAGGCATGGGGAATTGTCAGTGGGCTTGATAAATTGTTGAAGTTGTGTCATATCCTTGATTCTTGGCCAACAGCTCACTTGACAGATGGGTCTGTTTGGCATACATTTGCTCTGATTCCCTGTAGCAGTGAGTTAGCAGTTACTCTGATGTTTCTCTTTGTTGTCTTGTGAGGCCTGGTTACAACCCCTCTGCCCTTCAGGGAACCCTGTCCTGTCCCATGTTCCACAGAGTCTCTTTCTCTTCCTAGAACACTCAGAGCCTGTTTGTTCTGTGAGGGCCTGGAAACTGTTTCCAAGTCCCAGTTGTGCAGAATATCTTCTACATCTCTTGCATCTGGTTGTTACTCTTGTCCGCTGGGCTTTCTCTTTTGTTTGATTGCCCTTCTTATGGAGAGTTGCTTCCACTGTCAGTTTTGGTCATAGTGCCTCTTTCTTTCCACTGGTAAATCTTTTTTCTCTCTCATTAGCTGAACAGCAGCCATTTGCTGGTCCAGTGTTTTGACTTTTGTTTTAAGGGCTGCTATGAACATGGAAGGTCAAAGGTGGGTGGTAAATGAGGACAGGTGTATGATGATGTCATCACACAACTGCCATACTGTGATCTTGTGTCAGATGTCAGGCTGCAAGTATGTAATGGTGACATTTGCATGATGACATCATAGTAGCTTGGAGACTGCTGGTTATAACTTGCCCTTCCCTGTCAATATGGCTCAGGTGGTATTTGGTTAGGAATGCACCCATGCCAGGTCACAATAGGGGAGCCCTCTTTGTTTTTCTTTCATAAGACACACGAGTAGACAGGCTTATATTTCTCATCTTCCCTTCTTAGGCTTCCAAATTAGCCAAATATAAAGCGACTTTCTCTTAACCACCATCGCCATATTCCACCGACAAACTGTTCACGTGCTGAGTGAGCTCCTTTTCTGGCTACGTTATAGTCTTCCTACAGTCTTTGCCTACGGAGCAGGGAAAAGTTGTTTCATCGTTCACCCTGGACAATCAGGACACATTCCTTGCAATCAGCAGCTCTTCAGGGTTGAGCACACAATCCCTCAAAATGAACAGCCTCTCTGCTGCCTCTCCCCTCTCCCCCCTCCTGAGCTCCACTGGCAGAACACTCTCTTCAGCTCCTCAGTAACTATGACATCTTTGAAATTAGCTGGAGTACTGTTGTTCTCATCCAGATAAAAGGTAGGACAGTGGCCCCTCCCCCAGCATGATGTGCAATGAAGGGGCAATCATGAGTAACTATGAAGCTATCACTTGTGGTGTCATTACCTGAGGAAAAGCAAACAGAGAATATTTACTGAAGATATTACCAAGGTGGGTACAAGTAGAACCAAGCCTATCCTACAAGCCCCGTCTTTTGTAAATCATAGGCATTCTAATGTAAAGTAAATCATTTCTTTATGTTGTGTGTGTGTGTGGGAGATATCTGGATTAGGACCATTGTTCTGCACCTGCTATTTATACCATTACTAATCTGTTATTTGCTCAGGTTCAAAGTTTCAGTCTGTACACTTAGGCCATAATATGACTTTAGCCCAGAGTGTTCTGTGAACCCAGCCATTGTGATTTGTAAACCATGGCTTATAACTTAGCATGTTCTGCAAACTTACCCAATTGTGGTTTATTCAACAAACCATGGTTACATATAGATGTATGAATTAGCTGCTGAAGTGGGATGGGGAAAGTGTGGAATTGTAATGTCTTTTAACTGGGATGGGCAATGAGTTTTCTTCCAGATGTGGTTGACTTTCAGCCCTAGCCAGCATGGTCAACTGTTGTAATTCAGCTATACTGGGAGGACATATTGTCTATCCTTGTTTGCTAGCCTTTTCTGTCTAGTCCCTCCAAGTATGTTGCCATTATTCCCATCATTCTCACCCAGCAGCACAGCTATGTTTATGGGAATTGAGATATGGTGTAGTCCAATACATCTGCAGAGGATCAAAGGTACTTTAGAATTTTTAACTCCAACAGTCCTGTACATTTCTAAAAACGATGCTGTAGCACTGTGTGTTTATCCTACCTGTACAATTACTGTATGTTAAACATTAAGGTAGACAGTTAAGACCAAAACAATTGAGGAGGAATTATACGGAATTTGAATCAGAGTTAAAGAAGCGTGTTAAGGAAGATGACAGGCAAAACACCGCTCCTTCTATTTTAAGGCAGCAGTGGGCAGCTTGTTTTTGGTGAGAACATAGAAATCTACCATCAGATGCAAAACAGGAAAGACAGGCATCATATTGGGTGTTCCCAAGCACGAGGTGTCTCCAAGCACATGCTCTGTCTTGGGATTTATTTTCCGTAGTGGAACCGGAGTTTGCACAGAAAAAGCTTCTTTCTTGCTTGATATAGTAAATAAAGCCTTTTTGTAATAACTTTTGTTCATGTTTGGTGAGTCAGAGTTCCTTGTTGATCTATTACAAATCGCCCAGAGATCTGTCCATCGATCCTGATCTGTCATCTGCCATTCTTGTAGTAAGGCTATATTTTCTTACTGAAGCAGGAATAAATTTGTCTGCAGGGTGAAGAATGTTACTTCCCACCCACCTACTTCTTGTTCTGACACTGATACATTGACTCCAAATGCATATTTTCACCACCCCACCCTGCTGCTTCACAAGCTTTGAGTTTCTAAAAAAATTTCCCCACCCTCAGTATTGAGCCTGTTTAGCCAAGTAAGCCTTTAACATGTTTTTCTTTTTTTAATGACGTAATAATTGATTTTAAATTTGAAAAATTACTCTATAGGGTGTGCTTGTGTATAGAGTGTCTTCATGACAGAACCAGAGAATCGGCTTCCCTTGGAATCCAGAAGGAAGAACAGTAGGTACTTTCATCTATAGTTGTCATGTGAACATCTAGGAGCAAGACTGAACCCAAGAAAGTTTAGAGCATAGAGAACTTCCTTGTGAGAAATTAAAAGCCAGCCTTTCTGATCCATGCCCCTCCTGGTTGCTTAAGGCATCCCTGAAGGTGACATGTGGTCGTGTCTATGTAGTGGTTAATACACCCTTGCAGGACAGGGCAGTGCCATATTCCCTCTCCTCAAAAAAGCTAGTCTCAGTTGACCTGAACAATTTTTATCCAGTCTCCAACCTTCTTTTTTGGGGGGAAGGTGGTTGAGAAGGTTGTCAACCTGCAGTTCCAGAGGGCCCTGGAAGAGGTGGATTATCTGGATCCCTTTCAGTTGGATTCAGACCTGGTTGAAGTGCTGAGATGGCATTGATTCCACTTGTTGATTATCTTTGGCAGTCTTGGGATGTAGGAAGCTTATCCACTTGGCCCTCCTTGACTTCTCAACATTTGATAGTATCGATATTCTGGATTGGTTCAGGGGACTGGAAGTGAGAGGCACAGTGTTCCAGTAGTTCTCCTTTGTCCAGGGCTGGTAGGTGGGAGAGATTGAGCCCAAGACCCTACTAGGTGGGATTCCTCAGGGGTCTACCCTCTCCTTACTCTAACATCTACATGAAGCTGTTGAGGGAGCTCATAAGGCCAGGTTTCTTGTGGGACCACCTTTTTTCTATTGTTTCTGTTCAACACACCAAATCTAACAGAGGGGGCATGCTCCTGGTTCCCTCTATCAGACAATGGCATCCTGTAAGACCCAGGAGCCATGCCTTCTTTGTGACATCTCCTGTCTTGTGGAACAGTATCCCACCAGATATCTGGATGGGGAAGACCAGGCTCTGATACAATTGGGGCCAGCTGAGTGGTTGTGGGCTCCATCTTTATTTGTGAATGGGATTGCACGCCCCCAGATGGCGTTGGTGCACAATTTTGGGGTCCTCTTGGATTCACAACTTCTGTTAGAGGAGCAAGTGGTGGCATGGCTTGGAGGGCCTTTGTACAGGTTGGCCATGTACACCAATTGCATCCATTTTTGGATCAGGAGGCCTTAGTCACCTCCTGGTTGACTGTAATGCACTTTACATGGGGCTGCCCTTGAAGGGCATTTGGAAGCTACAGTTTTTCCAGAATGCAGTGGCACAGCAGTTTTGCACATTCCACCTCTGTTTTGCAAGCTACACTAGTCCCCAGTGGGCTTCTGGTTGGAATTTAAGGTGCTGGTCATTATCTACATGGCACAGGACCAGGTTATTTGCAGGACCGCCTGTCTGATTGCCCTACCAGAACCAGCAGAATTGGCATGCTCCAGCTCTTTCCTATTAGATCTTGCGAGATCTAGCAATTGTGCTTTCTCTGTTGCTGCATCTGCCCTGTGGAACAACTTTCCCCTAGAGATCCAGATAGCCCTCAACCCTGTTGGCTTTCTGCAAAGTGTTAAAAACCTGGATGCTCCCATTTGCATTTGGGCTAGGAGGTTGAGCAAGCCCCATTGGTTGATTGTTTAGTTATCTCTGTGATTGAAGTGGAACAGGTGTTCCCCCCCGACCCATTACATTTATAAATTGTGTTTTGTTTGTCTGGTTTTAATTTTTTGTAAGCCATCTAAAGTCACTATGGTGGGATGGGCAGCTACATAAATTGTTTCAATCAATCTCGGTGCACTCCTGAAGTGCTGAACTGCAATACCTATAAATCCCCAGGCAGCATGGCTTGGGTCTGAAGCCAGATCGAAATGGAGCCAGATAGACAGAACAGTCCGTAAACCATTGGCATTGTGACACTGCTATGCACTATACCAGAATTATTAGGCAACTAACAAATCGTGTTCTTTTAACCCCATGACTGCAATTTCTATTCCCAGGGAGCCAATTACCCTATGTTGTATTCACACAGCATCTTCTTTGGCTCCTTTAAGCAACTAGGAAGAACAAGAGCTAAGTGAGAGGCTTGGCCTTCCTTTCCTAATGGTCTGAATCCTATAAATAATCTGTACATTGAAAGGCATCCATGATATCATGACAAGCAGCAGTTAAGAGCATATCCAGTGATTCTGCACTTAATGTCTAATCAAAGAAACAGGAGCAATACTGATACAAGTTGACTATAAGCGGCTACAGGGAATCGTCTGCTGCTCTCCCTGAATGACCAAGACGTGATGAGCCTCTTCCAATATGTAACATCTCCATTAGCTGACTCTGTGACAATGCAACCACAGTGGGTGAGAGGTATTTTATTTATTTTCTTATTTGATTTTGTTACCATCACTGCTGCAGATAAGGCCTTGAAACTGACTCATTTTAGTACAATTCATTAGAGATGATCCTCTGCTATTGCTTTAGTTCTGTGGTATAACTTCTTCACCTCCTCACAGTGATTTAAATTCCTCAAAGTTTCTGCTGACTCACGTAACCCCTTTAAAAGCCATATTGGTGAATAGGAAAGAGAATGTGAGATTTGCTGCTGGAAGGGGAAATGTTCATCCTTCCTCCTTTACAACCACCTCCTCCAATCCCTTCTCCTCAGTTTAATATACTTCAATTGTTATAAATGGAAAATTGCTTTTTGTTTTTAATCCTACAGCCATGTGTTTAAAATTAGCCCTCCCCTTCCCTTGTGATTTCCCCTGAAGTTGTTTACTTGTGCATCCATGGGGCAATGAATCAGAGGGACCTTGGAGGTCTTCTGGTGCCCAGTGCAGGAATCCTCAGACCATCCCAGACAAATGGCTGTCCATTTTTTTTTCTTGAATACTTCCACCAATGGAGCACCCACAACTTCAGGAGGCAGGCTGTTCCATTGCTTAATGGATCTCAGAGTCAAGAAATTCCTCTTTAGACCAAGTTTGGATCTCTCGCTGTAAAGCTTCTTCCCATTGGTTCTTGTTATAAAAGCATAAAAAACATTTCCATCAGTGCTAGTGGAAGCTTTTAAGACTGGTCTGATCACTGAAGAGGAAGCCCAGTGCAAGAGTGGAATGGATGGGATTGGATGGGGGAGAGGTGGATGCCAGCCCCCCCGCCCCCACCTTCAGAAGAAACACAGCCCTTGGAACAGGACGTTTCCAGCCCCGTCTCTGGCCAGGACTCACCTACCTTTTCAGGGATCCAAAAGAGTCTAGTCAGCAAGACAGTTAAAACTGCGTGCTGAAATAAGCTCCTGACTCTGGATTATTTTGTAGAGGGGAGGCTACTTGTTGCTCTTCTTTTGACTGTTTCATGTTTTGCTTTGCTGTCATAACTGCCTGCTCTCCTCTGCCCTTCCCTTTCTGGAGTCAAGTCTCTCCAAATTCCCTTTCACGTCCAAAACAAACTTCTCATCCTCGGGTCTTGATTGCTTGCCCCACCCTTTCAGCTTTTATTTTTTGCAATAGTGCTGTCTGCTAGCCTTCTCTGCTCGTAGGATTTCACTGCCTTTGTGGAGCTGAGACTTGTATTCACTCTGCAGACAACCTCCAAAGCCTGGCTTCCTCCAGAATGTATTTTTCTTAGTCACCTTTCTTCTTTCTATGACTCTGCTCAACTATCCTAAATCCTTACCACCCCCTTAGCTTTGCTGAATACAAAGAAATACTAATTTGTGAAAAGAAACAAGTGCTTCCCCATTTGCTATTCATGACTATGCCTTCTTGTTTTCTCACAAGGCACCTGCATTTTAGAGAAGTTTGTGCAAGGTGGGAAAAGACTCAGGGACTCTAATGCAGAGGTCTCAGCCCTTTTGGACCATGGAGGACTTTTGGAATTTGGTGAGCACGTTATGGGCTCTCTCGCAAAATGGTTGCGATGGAGGCCATGGCAAATAACAAAATACACATTTTCCAGAAAACAGTCTGCTAGCTTCCTCCCTGCAATCCCTGCATGCCTCCCAGGAATCTCCTGCCCCTTCAGTTTGCCTACTTTTTTTCATGAGCGGACACCCATCCAAGCAAAGCTGAGTTGCAACCCCTTCACCACTTTATTTTCTAAGTGTGTCCCTAAAGGGGCCTAGAGGGATTAATTGAAAACCAAAATTTGTTGTGCTGGAGGCCAGTGATTTCCTCTGCAAAATTCTACCTTCCCCCCTTTCTTAATTAAAATGCATGTAAAATCACATAAGGCAGAGACTGATGTGTATCATGTCAATAACAAGGTCTTAGTGAAAAGGTGACAAGCTTTGTGCTAGAGCTCACATCCAGGATGCCCAAGTTGCCATGTTCAGTCCTTGGCATGTCCAGGTAAGGCTTGGCAAATAGTCTGGCATGATATCTGGATTTCAGTATTTTCCTATATATCTATGTCATCAAAATGTTGTTCTCTTTTTTTTTTTTCCCGTGCAGCCTCTGGTCTCAGATTTTCAATAATCTTTTTAATGAGCAAAACAGTACAGTTCCTGAAGGTGTGAATCAGTTTAATACTTACTGTTCTGTTTTCAAACAGGTCTGGAGGATTTGACACATGCAGTGATATGAAAGGGAGATAAGCCTGTCCTCTGCATCTATCTTTCAATGCTCTTTCCCTATTACCTTTTAAGTTTTTAATTTGCAAAACGTAATTTTATAGGCTGATTGGGTTTAATTAAGTTTGCATTAATTAAAATTCCTTTTACCAAAATAGTTTTAAAATGCTTGTAATAGTGCTTAAGGGGATTGCTTTTAATGACTTATGAGTGTTTATGTGCTGTCTTTTAATTAGTGCTCAATTCTCTTTTCAGCCTCTTTTCAAAATGTGCTGTCAAAACTTAGAGCGTGCCTAAATGAATCAGCTCATGTGGCAACATCAGGCCTACTGATGTAAATGGAACATACGGACAGAAGAAACCCATACTCCTCACAAATGTGGAAAGTTGTATTTATAGCAGACTAATTGGGCTAGAAGCCTGCAAGTTTGCAGGCACTGCATGATCAAGGTTTTGAAACATATTGCTTGGACTAAGCACTTCTGTGCAGAGCACAGAGCAGCAAGTCCAGAAGTGCATTTTCAAACACCTCTGCCTTCAATTTGTTGCTAGCCAGCAGGACGCAGGCTGTGCTGTTTGGGTGGAGAGAACTGTGTAGAAACCCTTGCTCTAGGTTTAGTCTGCCAGGTTTAGTCTGCACCTGCTAATATTCCAATGTCCTCCAATGCATGGCTTTCTGATGGAAATGTTGCTGGCATACCATGTAGACATAGGCAGGCCCTGTTCTACCGCTGCACACTTAACAGGTGAACTACTTCCAAAAAGGGGTCCAACCTTGCTGTGCTGCTGCTTTTCTCATACAAATAATTAGTTCACAGAACAGCAAATAATTCCTCTTCCCACCAACATAGGGCCTTGGTATAGTACAAGTGAGGGGGACGTGGTGGCGCAGTGGCTTAATGATGCTGAAAGTTGCCGTCCAGAAATGGTCGACACTTCAGCGGTTCAAGCCCAGCTCCGCACAGCAGAGTGAGCTCCTGCTTCCTCCCCAGCTCCTGCCAACCCAGCAGCTCGAAAACTTAGGTGAGTAGATAAATGGGTACTCTCACCAAGGTGGGAGGAAAAATGCTGGCGGCCCTTTCACGGGGGATGGGACCGAGTTGCCGGTAACGCAGAAGCCGTGCACGCCCGAAAAAGGTGCGAAGCAACGGAAACCCCGCCTCCTGGACTCGCCAGCTGGGCTCTGCTCTAGGAAGGAGGCACTGGCAAAACCACTTCTGAAACAACTTGCCTTGAAAACTGCAGGGACTCGTCCAGGCAGTCGCCGCAGAATCGGTCACAATTGAGTGCAGATGATAAAAAAAAAAAAAATAGTACAAGCGAATGCCTGAGAGAAGAGGGCCTCTTCATATGGGAGGCCTACACTTTAGCTTACCCAAAAAGTAGGTGGTGGTGTTTTTACAGTAGCTTAAGACAGGCAATGAGCTGAAACAATCCTTCTGTTCAAAGTTGCCACAACAGAACCCTTTCTTCTGTTCTGTTCTATTTCTGCTTGGATAAATCAGATGAGCACAGGATGCTATTTTCTGCTGTTGCTGTAAACATCTTAAAGTCATGGGGATCCCATTAACTGTGCCAAGCAAATTTCTACATCACCCAGGCTGCCTTCCCCACATCTGAGGGCATTCTTCCAGAACCGCAGCCAGATTTGTAGAGATACTTATCACAATCACTTGTGGGATTTAAAGCACTGTTGTAACAATACAGATAGCTTTTAAGTAGTTGCTGCTCTCATTTCTAAAAAGGAATTTCATTTCTAATAGCTTGCAAGTCTCCTTCTCCCTCATCCCAAGTTTCAATAGAGGGGCACTCCCAATGCTGCATTCTCTACCCACTGCTCCCCATCCCATTTATAGTACCTGATTACTTTGAAATTTACTGAATTGCAGAATCCAACATGTGCAGAGAGGGTTCTGTGAGAACATCAATGATAAAAACTTCTCCCATTTATGTTTATTTCAAGACAAGCACCAGCCCTTCCCTCTGGCTTCCAATAGGATGTCCTTCATCCTAAAATCATTGAGTTGGAAGGAATTTGGAGGACTTCTAGCCCAATCCTCTGCCCAGGACAGGAATCCTCAGATCACCCCAGACAAATGGAAGTCCAGCCTTTGTTTGAAAACTTCCATAACTCCAAGAGGCAGGGTGTTCTACTGCTTAATAGCCCTTGTGGTCAGGAAATTCCTGGATCTCCTCCTGTAAAGCTTGGTTCTTGTTCTACCCTTAAGACTTATGGAGAATAAATTCATACCCTCTTCCCTGTGACAGCTCTTCAGGTATCTGAGGATTGCTATCATGTCTCTTCTTTAGGCTATTTTTCTGCCACCAGAACAAATGTGCATGGCTAATCATGCCTGGCCTCCCCAGCACTGATATTTAGGAGGTTTAGTAGTTCCCTCCTATTTTTTTGGTCAAGTAGTGTGTCATAGTCCAAGCTCAACTCTAAACTATCCTCTGATGAGAGCTGGACTATGCACTGCAACTCTTATCATTAGCTGCTTCATCCAATTCTCATGGCTACATGGATTTCATATCTGCCAATAGTCTCTTTTTTCATCCCACTTGACAGGATCCTCTCTTGGTTCCAGAACAGCAGACCTTCCTGTTTTTTCCTTTATTTCTTGTTTCACTGTTATATTCACAATCTTTTTCCTTCAAATTTCCACTTGCCCCACCTCTCCTCAATTGGCTTTTGTTGAACTTGAAAAGCTGAAAAGGATGAAACCTGGGCAGTACATGGATGGGAGACCTAACTAGTAAGTTGAAAACCATCCCAAAAGATGCAATGACTAACCATTGCCATATTGTTACCAAGAAAACCGTGTGGATGAAGTCCACAAAATCCCCAGCAATCACTTGACTTGGAAGCTTTACCTCTCTCACAGCAAAGAGCCAGTTACTCCAATGACTTCTCCCAGTCATTCTATGCTAAAGATAAGGCCATACTGGGCACCAAACCCCTGGCATGACAGCTCTCGAGATCCGGAAATAATGTTGAAGGACAGCCATATCAGATGTTGGAAAATACAGATTGTATAAAACACAGATAATTCTGACTAACAGTTTACATTTACTAAACATCTGAATGTGTTTTAGAGCTCTGGGTTTTACCAATGGCAGAGAAAAGATGATCAGCAGCTGCACAGTAAAAAGTGATAAACTAATCATGTCAGGTCTAAAGGAAGAACAAGGGCCGCATGATAGTAATAGCACTATCTCCCCCTAAAATTTTCAAATATTAAACAGAATCTTTTGTTTTAGCAATGGGGGCCAGAAATGGAAATTCATGGGACACAAGTTTCATCACATTGCTGATTTAATTCCGATATGGAACAAACATAGCTTGTGTGGAATTCTTCAATGCCTGGCACACAAATAAACAAGGCTTTGCTATTCATTACAAAGAACAGAGCCAGACATTTCATATTTTGTTTTTAAAATTGGATTATAAATAAACTTTATAATTTCCTCAAATAAGGAGTTAAGACAGACATAAATCAAGGCTCAGCTATTCATCGTAGACTTGGAACAAGGTAGAACTTTGATCTAGAGAAAACGATGGAGGCATATTTTGATTCCAAACAGGAGCAACTTTGGTTAAAGACTGACAACCATGATGTGCTGCTGCAATTTTTGCTTTCTACTGTTAGAGAAGTCATTTTAAAGGCTTCCAGGTTGTAACACAATGGCCAGGGCACCCACGTATTTAAAAGGCACAGTGTTTCTACATGTTCCTGAAAATTAAAACAGAAAACAAAACTATCTGGAACAAATGTGGTTCTTCCTATACACATGCCTGGTTTGTTCAGTTTACTTGAGGAAGCAAATTTAAATTGGCCACTGAACCCTAACCAAGAGAGCCCTTAGAGATGTGCATTTTGGATTGAAACTTCTGTTTTTGATTAAATCAGGGTACTTTTCAGAGATGTGCCTCATATCTCCCCAGAAATCTTCCACCCTACCTCTAGAGCCAAGAGCTCTGCCCAGGAAAATACTTCTAACAAGAATGTAATACAGTTTAGAATTCAAGTTTAGCCTGCATCATTTGCTGGGGAAGTATGGGTGGGGGGTGGGGAGGAGGGGAAGAGAGAGAAAAACATACAAAGAGGAAAAGTATACTCATTTTCTTAAGGAACAGATGCACATACCACCCTTGTATTTGGATGAAGGTTTCCCTTCAGCCCATCCACCCTCCTCATTCTCTCTCTAGAAAGCACTGCTGTAATTTTTTTGCTTATGTGAGAAGGAAGGAGAGAGTGAGTGACAGTGTGCCCCTTCTTGGAAAGACATTAGAAGTTTTTTTTGGTCCATGTTGCAAATAGGATTCCAAAAGGTAGTTGGTAGGAGCTCTTAATAGAAACTTGGGAGCTAGAACAAAGAGCAGCAGAGGTACGAATCATAATTCCTGGGTTTCAGCCCAAGCTCTGGGTAGGCAGATCAAGGAGTACTTGCTCACTTCTTAAAGGCAGGAATCAAATCCAGGTGTTGTAAAGTTTCAGTCTTCCAACCCTGTCCCAGATACCACTGCCTTCTTCCCTGAGTTAGGAATGAGATCCAGAAAATAAGCCAGTCATTCGTATTGATCCATAAATCTGGTTATTCCAAGTGGTCAAAAGCCAAAAAAGTATTAAGCACAGAACACGAGAGAGAGAGAAAGAGGGTGCATAGTAGAGGCTTCCAAATTCTTCAGCTAATCTCAGCTCTCAAGGGGAAAACAGCAGAGCATCCTCAGTGAACAAACCTCCAAGTCCATCTAGAGCCACATTTTGGATCTAGCTGCTGTATATGGAAATTCAGGAGTGTGCAAGAGATAAATCTCCACTTTGATAAAGATCTGCAGGAGGTCAGAACTAGCCTTCCTGATGCAGATGGCTGTGCATTGAGAAGTTTCCCGAGGGTGGAACTCAGTCATCAACAAGGGGTGGGATACAGATCCTTCCTACTACCATCTTCAACAGTAACTCTCTTCCTATTTGACTGACATTCTGGCTTTAAATCTCGAACAGTGCCTGGAAAAATGGGGCAGGAGCTCTGAATCTCAGTATTGTCTTCCAGTGCAAAATAAGTGCACCATCCTTCAGTAAGGCTGAAACTCTGGAGGGTGTAAAGTCCAGGACTTCCTTCCTGGAACTGGTCCCCCTGCAATTCAAGCAATCCATTTTAGGCTTCCATCTTCCGCAGACTCAATCTGTTGAAGGAGTTTCTGGAGGAGAAATAGAAGAATGTATTCAAACAAATCTTGGAAAGGAATTTATATTATGTGGGGAAAGAGTGATATGGCAAAGGTGGAAATGTAGAAATCTACTGAACAAATAAAAGGACTGCATCAGATTGGGGACTGATTTTGAAGTAGGATCTCTCGAAAGCAACTGGCACAAATCAGGGTCACTATAAGACTTTATGCACAACTCAGTTCAGAACAGTGCAGAAAAGCAGACAATGTGACAAAAACTCTACTACTTTTTTCCAGCTTCCATTCTTTCATAAATACCAAGATGAAGAGAGGAGGGAGACAAAGGAGTGGAGTGATGCAGGGAGAGTTCGTTAGGAGCTGTCCAATCACAGAGTGTTGGGGGCAACATATAGAGGCTTACAATTACTGTTCTCTACAAATCCATCTAATTCGAAAACTAAACAAGAGCTGCAGGTATTATCTTTAAAAGAAAAAAAATCCAAATTTAAAGAAGCCTGCTCCAAAAGTCATGCACTTTCCTGCAAACAGGTAGTTTCATACCTCAAGACACATCTACCATGTCTGCATTTGCACAGGTCTTGCCCGTTAAACATGAGGGGAGAAATGATCCTGCCACTGGCCCAAATCTATTTTTTTTTCCTTGCAAAATTCTAGGCTTTACACTGTGGTAGAAGGGGAAAATATGCTTGCAGTTGTCACATTCAACCATTCAGTCTCAGTCTCAGTCTCTCTCTCTCTCTCAAAATAAGTAAAAAGTTATAAACACTTAAAAAAAAAATCAGAATGTAATAAAAATCCCTGCACTTATGACATACTACGTCCTCTCAAACTCACTGGTCTCATAAAAGAGACTCTGAATGCTTGAAAAAGGTGAATAGACTGACTAATGCCTGAGCATTAGAATGTAACCCTGAACATAACAATAGGATTCTGTTTCTACAATAGATGGAGATTACAGTGAAAACTGGCTTGGTCCAGTACGCAAGAGTAGGTGGTCTAAACACTCCCTACCCTGCGAGTAGCACCTCCTCCCCCGCTAGGTGTTTGCCTAATTTTGGTTCAGAGTACATTGCTGCAAACAGTGTGCTTTCTTAATCTTTATGGGGAGCATATCAATATTTTAGCACCATAATTAGACACTGTGGAAGATCCCCCACCCCTGCAAGTGGGAGAAATGTTTTTGGGATTTAGCCTGCAGACCACTGACATCAGCTCTAGCCACTAGAGGTACCAGTTGTGAACCACAAGTTGAAGGAGCAACCCAGTTTTCAGGATACTTTCCTCCCCTGTAGGAAAAGGTGATGAAATAGTAAATGTTTTAGAATTTATGTGCTAAGCCAGATATCCCTTGGTGGTTTTTCAGCCTTATACCTGGCAACCACTGGGAAGAACTGTATCATTTTTACCTTTCCTAAATAATAAATGTAATAAAGGAATAAAGCCAATTGGATATTTAACCTAGATGTTGCTTAACAGACATTACCAATGTGCTTCAGAATTATTAAGAGTAAGAACCATGTCCCTTGAAAACAAGTGGCAAACAACATACAGTGGGCCCTGTGCCACTTAGACGTTCTAAACATCTGGATACAACCCAACAGTGCAGCATCTTGTGCTGGACAGTAGCACAAGAATACATTTCCTGGTTTGGGGGAGCAGTTAATTCCTAGAATAATTAACTGGGACTCATTTATGTCCTAAGCAGGGAAAGATTAAAACAAAACCACCAATTTGGGATGGGCCCCTAAATGTAATAGCTGATGGAACTGATAAACTTGCCTGCACAAAGCACTTTGGTTCTGAGCTTCCATGTCCAAGCATTTACTCATACCTGTGTGCAGAATGAGGAGCAACTGGCGTGTAGAGCTGAGGGATTTTGCGGTTGAGTAGTGGGTGCAAGGCTTCCTTTAGACGCTGGTAATTCCTCTCTAGCTCTCGGAGGAACTCACGTTGGTCTGGTCCAATCAGTGTCTTGCTTTTACGAAGAGCATCTTCACATCTAAGAAAACAGTGAAGTGGTTATGCGTGGCGGTACTGGCTCAAAGTGGCCTTGAAGAGTTCTCTCCCTTCTCCTTTTGGGCTACTTATTGATATCTAACTGTTCCAATCTTGGATGGAATTGTTCCCAGCTTCTGGTCTGAAATACCCTCAATCAGATTTTCGAAGGTCTTACTAGACTTGGTAGACGGTTCTAGGGACTAGCTCTTCTCCTCAGATCACTTCTCAACTGCAGAAGGCCCTGGCCTCCTGCGCTGCAAAACCTACTCTTTGAAGATATCTTCTCAAAAGATTGCCTTTACTTTTAGTTGTCTGGGAACATTTTAGAGGAAAAGTTATATAAAATATATATTATATAAATATATAAAATATGAAAGTTATATCTGGTGAGCGTCAAAGCCACTGCCCTTGACAAAACCCAGAGCATGCAGGAATACATCAGTAAGATGGCACCAGAAGATGATCTGCTGAGAGAATGCCTGAGGCAGCAGCAGACATGGGAGGAAGTTCAAGCAGAATAAATATATAAAATATGAAAGTTATATCTGGTGAGCGTCAAAGCCACTGCCCTTGACAAAACCCAGAGCATGCAGGAATACATCAGTAAGATGGCACCAGAAGATGATCTGCTGAGAGAATGCCTGAGGCAGCAGCAGACATGGGAGGAAGTTCAAGCAGAGGAAGTGCCATGGCAAGACAAGCCCCTGCATGGGATATACCATCAACAGGTAGCTGAGATGGCTGACACTGGGAAATCCTACTAATGGCTGGAAAGGGCTGGACTAAAAGACAGCACTGAGGCACTGATCATAGCAGCACAAGAGCAGGCACTAAGCACCAGATCCATAAAAGCAGGGGTCTTCCACACTAGGCAGGATCCAAGGTGCAGACTGTGCAGAAAGGCCTCAGAGACAGTCCAACACATAGTGGAGGGTGTAAGATGCAGGCAGGAACAGCATACACCGAACAGCACAACCAAGCAGCTGGCATTATGTACAGGAACATCTGTACAGCGTATGGGCTAGACCCTCCCAAGTCCAGATGGGAGATTCCACAGAAGGTTGTGGAGAATAACAGGGCTAAGATCCTGTGGGACTTCCAGATCCAGATGGACAGGCAGGTATTGGCCAATCAACCAGACATTGTGGTACTAGACAAGGACCAGAAGATAGCGGTGGTGATAGATGTAGTGGTGCCAAGTGACAGCAACTTCAGGAAGAAGGAGTATAAAAAGCTGGAGGGTTACCAGGGCCTGAAAAAGGAACTAGAGGGGTTGTGGAAAGTAAAGGCCAAAGTGGTTCTAGTTGGTGGTAAGAGCACTCAGGGCTGTGACTCCTAAGCTGGGAGAGTGGCTTCAACAGATCCCAGGAACAAC